CACTAAGGCCAAAGATCTGTCTTATTTTAACAAGACAAAAAAAAATGTGATTAGTGTTGTTCATCTAGCAGGGTGTGCTTACATGTTTTAGAACACCTGGTTCTCCTTGTGATTGTATTTAGTTGAACAGATTAAACAGGGTTATATTATTATACCTGTTCTTCCTATGCTTACTTGCTATTCCTTATTTCTTATTTAGCGTGGATAAGCTGCGAGAAATTTGATATTTTCGAGAAAATGCAAATGACACACGAAGGCGTTAAGTTTAATGGACATTAAATGACAAGTTAAATTAACAAAAAAATTTTATGTTCTCTTTCAACTTCATTTATCAAAAAATATTTAAATTTGATCAAAGGTATCACTTTCTTAGTTTACGTGATCTTAATTAAGTTTTAATGTGTAATCAAAGTTTGTATTATCGAATTCAGGTGGTTTACATTTTATGATGACACCTGAGAAACTTACCTGTAATTAAGTTTGGTTTTTTAAATGAGAGAGAGAGAGTTTAATGTCCACTCTGATATTTCAGTAATTTGCTTGCACATAGGAGTCTAAAGCTGTGGGAGGAAACTGATGGAAATCGATAAGGTTGGACAAGCGACCCTACTGCTTGTCATGTACAAGCGGGAAATCGAAACCAGGCCACTTGACTCAATGACAGACCTTATGATTTAAAGTGCACACATTAAACCATTGGGCAACCCTACCCAACAATTAATTGTAAAATTAATTCAATGATTTATTCACATAATCGTAGGCTAAACAGTCTCTTTTTATCTGTTTCAATTCTGTATCTTCTTAAGAAACATTGTTATAAAATACCTAAAATCTTTTGTTGGGCCTCTTTTTCATCTGATTGAATCTAGGCATACCATGCCATCTTTATTGAGAATAAATGGCAATTTGAACTCTTTTAAATATGCCCTTGAAACCTATCTTTTTCGAAAATATTTATTGTGAAGTTTTAGTTGTTAATTTCTTTTACGATTTACAATTAAAGGTAAAGTTTAGAAGTTCAATTTTTAGGTGTATACCATGGTTTTAATTATTAGTTTCATTTACAATTTTTAATAATTTTGATAGTATATTTTTATTTTAAAGTTCAGTTTGTTATAATTTTTAATAATTTTAAAGTAAATTTATAAAGCTTAAAAGTTAAAATGTTATGTTTGTACAGCAATTTGAGATTTTGTTTTAATGTAAATTGCTTTATCAAAAATGAATTATTGTTATTATTAGGCCGAGAGATTACATATATCTAATACTGTGATGTTTTGGTTTTCCTTTCTTGAGCTATTAAAAATTAGTTTTTTTCTTTAAAGCCAGTGACAATTAGTAATTGTAACTCGGCCCTTTAAACATACATTATGCAAGAGCTAAATCTGCCAATTGCAGGTCTTTCTTTAGGCCAGAAATGTTATCTAAGACATTAATTAACTTATCCAGATTATAATCAAGTCTCAATGGCATCGCTAGTCTTCGATATTTACTTGATTAGAACCTGGTCTCCTGCTTCTGATTAAATCAAAAAATGGATAATCGAGACTATGTTTTTTATCATACCGACTTTAGTAATGATGATCAATGCTAGGCCCAAAATTCAATTGCTAAATACTCGGTTCAGGGTGGATCAAGTTGACTGAAATTTTCAGCAAATTCCCTTTACATTATCTAGTTTTTAACTATTATAATAGTGAGAACTACCAGCTCTTTGTCTAATCACCCATATATGGCGGGGTATCGGGTTCAAAATGCAATCTCTAAAAAGCAGAAAGTCAACAGTAAGAAGTAGAAAATCTAAAGTAAACGGGAAAATTCTTATCTAAAAGGGTATTTTTATGGTGAAAACCTATAAATTTATGTACTTAGTCTGTAGAAACATCAAGCTTTTCAACTTTTAATCGTCATAATTCTACTTTCATGGACGAAAATTCTCCTTTCTACTATCAACTTTTGACTTTCGACTTTCCGCTTTCTACTTTCAACTTTTGACTCTCGACTTTCCACTTCAGATTTTCTACTCAGGATTTTCTAATGCAGATTTTCTCCAATACCATGGTGGCTGATAGTGGCCATGTAATTTTTCGCCATTTTCATAACCCGACAACACGACATAACGACAGTATTAGTGAGAGCATACGTCAGAGTAGACTTGGATATTATAGACTTTTGGCAAGCGAAATTTTTCACATCCGTATCGCGTATCTGTATCGTATACGTGATACGCTGCGTCAGTGTAGTTTTAGAGTTTTGACAGACGTTCGCGCCGCGTACGTATGAGTAGCTGAGCTGAGCCTAGTTCTCTTACAACATGACGACGGTTATCTTCCAAAATCACCATCAGTGCTAGTCAAGTGCCTAGCAATTTTTGGTTTCACTCATATCAGAAAGTTTATACCCCTTTACGGTAGAATCACGCGATTTACACCTCCCTAAATTTAGCACGTAGATCAATCAGCATGCAGACAAACAGGAAAAATATGAAAATTCCGAGAAAAACTTATAAAAAATAATGATTAAAAACACGTCTTTATCATGGTTAAAATCACATCAAATATACCCCTTTGTGTTCTAGGATACACATAGATTCATAAAAACACTAGGCCACAACATTTCAGCGTATAAAAGTAGCAAAAAAGGCGATGAAAAGACGATGATGTTATACGGACCATTCAGATTGAAAGCTGTTCGATACGTGCTGCCGTATCCGTGTGCCGTATCACGTATGAGAAATACACACACATTGATGATGACGTCACACACAAAATCCATACGGATATGCGATGCGGACCAGGAATTTACGCTTGCCAAAAGTCGATAATATCCAAGTATACTTTGACGTATGCTCTCACTAATAATGTCGTTATGTCGTGTTGTCGGGTTATGAAAATGGCAAAAAATTACTTGGCCACTATAAGCCACCATAATATTGGAGAAAATCTGCGTTAGAAAATCCTGAGTAGAAAATCTGAAGTGGAAAGTCGAGAGTCAAAAGTTGACAGTAGAAAGCGGAAAGTCAAAAGTCAAAAGTTGATAGTAGAAAGGAGAAATTTTGTCCATGAAAGTAGAATTATGACGATTAAAAGTTGAAAAACTTGATGTTTCTACAGACTAAGTACATAAATTTATAGGTTTTCACCATAAAAATACCCTTTTAGATAAGAATTTTCCCGTTTACTTTAGATTTTCTACTTTTTACTGTTGACTTTCTGCTTTTTACTCTAGATTGCTTTTTGAACCCGATACGCCGCCATACCCATAATATATCTTTAAGTGTTTTCATGAATCCAAATAAACCATTATGATTACATGTACGAGGTTTATGCTAATTTCCTTATTCATATTATATACGTTTATGTTATTAAAGTAGGTGACCAGCTGACCTGAATAACATGTATTAATGTCAGTTTTTTGTATTTACTTTATACCAATTCATGTTTACATGAGTTAAAAATGTTAATGTATATGTAGCCACATGACGTACAGACATTGTAAGTAATAAATTATATAAGTAATATCAAATCAAGCAAAGGGAGAGAAATGTGTTTTAAATCCCCTCGAGACAAACTAGGCCATTTTGGGACTTTAGCAGTGTGAGGAAACTGGAGGACACAGAGAAAACTCATGAGTTTGAACAGACGACCCTACTCCCTATCACATACAAGCTGGGAATCAAAACCACGCCCCATGATTCTATATGTACATGTACCATCTGGCACTTGGCTCGTTCTGAGACGGATTGTGCATTTTTCAGACAAGGTCTAAATTATCATGACTCAGTTTACAGATCAGACAAAAAAAAAAAAGAGGCTCAGTGTATACTTTGATGTGCATGTAAAAGATCCCTTAGTTCTTAGAAATCAATGAAACACCATCTTGCCCATCTTGATTAGTCTGTCTGGGGTAGAAAAGTAGGATGATAAACCTCATTTCATTTCATTTTGTTTCATTTCTTTAAATCTTGGAATAAAGATAACTGAACTTTGGTTATTTAGTGAAAGTATTTATTATACACAATCATTAGGGTGCATCAAACACCCTAATTTTTCAAAAGTTTTGAAAACAATAACAGCAATGTGATAGAAAGGTTCCTATATGTCCAAAAACATCCCTAGACTATTTTCAGATTTTTGGTTCATTGTCTTGGAGATCCACACTGGGTTCAAAGTTTTGGTCCGTAACGCCTGCGCAAGTTATGTGATATAGATCAAACTTGTTCAAATGTTACCATATTTTCACATCAAATGGTCATGAAATAATGAATAAATAATTGGTGAATGGTAATTCTGTGATATATTGCATAATTATAGTAAAGCTTTCAAGAAATCTGGACAATATTCATAAAAATGCAGTATTTCGTAACAAACTGTAGTAAAGAGAATAATTCACATTATTTCAGAATGTTCTTAATTGGACAAATAACCACAATCGGAAATCCAAAAGCTGACTCGGAATCTGTCTTTTTCAGTTATTTTCAAAACATTTTGGCTATGCTCCTCTGTTGTTGCAGCATTTAAACAGTTAGTTGACAGTTTGACCAGACATTCAGCGCTGTCATTAGTTAAATTAATACAGTCAAGTTTAGAATTCGCAAATGTAGACATGTCGTCCCAATTGTTCGTCTCACACGGGAGAAAACCCAATTTCTCCCTCTCTGTAAGTGATATGAATAATAAAGATTAAGATTAAGCTATTTCCGGTATGGTTTTACTTAATGTCTTTATGTTCTGAAGTATTGTCCATTTAACCGAATTAAACACTTTTTATTACACTTTTTGTTTTTTCCTGAGTGTTGTCCCCTAAACCAAATTAACCACTCTAAGTTTTGAATGTGTCATGGTATACACCATGTAGCCTATTAGAGTGATGTCAGATTTATTCATGTACCAGTAGTAGTGTCAATTGACGTTATATCGTCACCTCGACTTGTAAACCACATTAAAACATAAATAAGCTTATTATAGTCACACTCTACATGACCTAAATATACAACTTTCATTACAGTTCATTGTATTTATCTGACTGGAAAGACTACACTATTGGTAGATCAGGTCAGAAATATGAATTTTAACCTGCTATCAATTACAGGTGTTGAAGATTTCATAAAAGATTATTGATGAAAAGATTAGGATATTTGTTGACAAGTCGGTTATGTCATTTCTAGAATTTTAATGGAGGACTGACGAAAGGCGTATAGGTGGTTTTCTGAGTACCGGTATATATGATAATTTACGCTTGTTGTTAGAAAATAAGGGAGAAAAGGGGCTTTTCATAAGTTAAGAAGTATTTATCTTGTGTTAACAGATTTATGATAAAGTAAGCTTTGAGCTTTAAAATATTGGATGATAAGTGAGTGATATAGGGTACAGTATATAGATATCAATGGTAGCTTTTAGGGGACAAAAGGGTATTTGATAACTTGAAGTATTGGTGTAGGTACGGACAGACATCAATGTCGATATCACTAGATAAAAATTAAAACTTGTTCAAACTTATTTATGACAGATCAAAACATGTTAGATAAATTATTAGACAAAGGAATTAAGTTATTAAAATTAGTAACATATTTTAGCTTGTTGTAAGAAACAATAGATTGCTTTATAAACCTAAGCATATATCACTTGTAGGTCTATAATTTTAGTTCATGATCAAATTAAACTTGTTGAAATGACAGAGTTATTCGATAAGGAAGTTATAGTTTTAAACATGTTTCGATATGATTATAAACCAAGGTCATGTTGATCTAGGAAGCTTCACCAGGCTCCCATGTTGTTAAACAGGTTCAACTAAAACCTAAAAACTGAAAAAACTTCACCATGGTCAGCATTAATGGTCAAAATCCCAAAATTGAAATTCAATAAATGTCTACTTTACTTAGGATCTCTGTGCATCAGTTGCATTTTTTTTGAAAATATCTAATTTTCCAAGATATTTGATTAAGAAAATAAATTTTAAATATCAATGGTAGATAATCTCCTGGCTTGGATTCAAGCAGATTAAAAAGAGGCTCATCAAAAGATTGGACTATATCCAATTTGTCATCTGCAGATGATGCCGCATGTTGACAAATTTTTAATTCATCATATTTTGTAAATACTGAATGAAATTGAACCAATATTTGAACCAATATTTCTTTTAGATATTTAACTTTTACAGTATTGTAGTTTGCAAGAGATTAACAATCCCCCAAATCTCAATCAGAGTCTTAAACAATTAAAACTTTTTAGTAATGAATTTGTATGTGTAATCCCCCATTATTAAATACACACCTCCAGAGAACACCTGAACCTAATTACTTCTAGTCTTGGCTCAGACCATATACATGTATGAAACATCTGTGAATGACAAAGTCTAAATTTGTACTGAATCTGTAACCCCTCTTGTACTGGAAACAATGTCTATTTACCCCCTCTTGTACTGGAAACAATGTCTATTTTACCCCCTCTTATACTGGAAACAATGTCTATTTATGGTCTTTGGATGAAATATAGACAGACATAAATGCCTCATAATGCTCCTCTGTCTCTAAAAATATAAATTTTGTGAATAAAATAAATATGTAGTTATATATGGTCTCAAAATGGCTTTACTTTGTCTAATGACGAAAAATCCTTAGCAGTCAGAAAACAATGAAAACTTAACAATCATCTTTCATTTCTGTTATTCATATAACATTATTTTGGCAACAATTAGTTTCGCTACACTTACTCTCAATTATCAGGTCTCGAGATTTAACCTGACCGAAATTTCTCACACACATTTTACAAGTTTTATCATTGTGTCATGTCCTTAGTTGTGTATTATAAACAGCCAATAAAAAGACTGATGTTCCAATCAGGCTAAAACTACATGCACTGATCTTTATATAATCTCATTGTATTAAGATTGGTAGCGATATCAGCCTAGGCCTAGGTGGATGTTAGGCCCCAAGCAGGAAGAAGAAGAGCTTGACAGAGGCCAAGTCGGCCATCTGTACAGCAGTTGTTCTGAAAATATGTTAAATGTTGATATATGTTGTAAATGATGGAGGACGATATAAAAAAAATCATATCAGTTTAATTGAATTTGTTCAAAATTACTAATGGTAATCAGCCCCCAATTTTGGCCCTTTGTCATTTCACTCAAAATTATACATCAAATATAACCCAACAAAAAAATAATTTAAACTGAAAGTATTAAACTAAATGTATTAAGGTAATATTTGTTTATATGTATGAGATAGAAAGGTAAAAGTATTAAACTAAAAATATAAAACTAAAAGTATTAAAGTAATATTTGTTTATATGTATAAGATAGAAAGGTAAAAGTAGAATTTAAAAGATCTTGAAAAACTGGTTCCATGACTTCAATATGAATTTTCAAGTAAAAGTAATAATTATCCAGCCCAGTTGTACCCTATACTATTTATTAGTATTAGTATTTATACAAGTTTGAAATTAAAATAAATTTACTTCAAATATAAATAATTTTTCCTTATCTTTCTCATAGCCTCTTGACACCCCTTTTGTCTCCTATGTTCGCAAATTGTTATAATTAGCTCATAATTAATTTATAATATGCTTATAATTATAGAGAAAAATTTATTTAACATTATTAACAGAGGGAAAGTTCTCAAACTGTTATAATTAATTCATAATAAAGTTATGATTATCGAGTAAATTTATTTCACATTTTTAACAGAGAAAAAGTTGAAAAACCAGGAAGATTAAAACAATTTTTTCTTGTGTTGGCCTAATTACTTAACTATAAGAAATATGTCGTTGAGTCAGTTTGATAGTGTTCATGTGCCTCAGTTTGATGGTGTTCATGTGCCTATTGAACCGTGGGATGTTGATGACATCGAGGACAATTTATTACCCAGAGATACACTTCACCAGGTATGTTTCAAAATACACTTATTTCAGATGCTTATAATGTTTTGATCTTTATTTTTGACTATTACATAAGCCATTTACTACATTTCACAAAAATGGCTATTTCAATATCACCCACAGTCTTTGGCATGGCAAACTCGAGTTATTGTTCAGTTTAAATCAACATTGATGTTGTTATATCTTACCGTGAAAAGATGAGCTTTTGATATGAAAATTTTATAATGAACACAAATTGCGTGCAAGAATGCATACGAGCGCCATTTGTAATAAAGCGGCTCAATGAATGAGGCTAATCATACCCCACAGAAGAAAACTATCAGTTTAGACTGGAATAACCAGACGCCAAAGACTGTCATTCAATTTTGACCCTTGGAATATTTTGCCGAATACAACTGATTAGAAATTACAGTAAAAACAGAAACGATTGAATGTAAATCAGTTCATATACATTCATGTTACATTATTGTATGCGTTTCAAACCATTTTTGTCCATTTCTAGGTGCCAAAGAATAGAGATTTAGATCCTTTAAATTGTACATGTACATATATATTATACTTTGACTAATTACAAACAAGGAAGTATATTAATATAAACCTCCTTGGTTTATTTTTGTATCCTATTCTTAGTTACATAACTTCTAGTAAGTAGAATGAATAGACATAAAAGTAAAACAGAGAGAGAGAGAATGAATAGATATAAAAGTAAAACAGAGAGAGAGAGAGAGTTTAATACCACTGACACAATTTATGTCATTTCAAGACTAACATATGCTTTAATTTTATTTGCTTGTACATTGAGGTCTTTAATAGTGGAAGGAAACCCAAAGGACCTGGAAAATACTCTCTCCATGGGCTTTAGATCATAAGATCTGTCATAGAGTCAAGTGGCATGGTTTTGATCCCAAGCTTGTACTATATGTTAGTCCCAAAATTACCTGGTTTATGTTAAGTGGACCTAAACTCTCCCAGTTTGTTTCTCTGTCTCTCTCTCTCTATCTCTTTCTCTCTCTCATGGACAACACAGTAAAATAAATGATATTGACATCTACCACTGAAGGTTGAGTTGATTAAGAGACCTGGGGCCTGTTTCACGAAATTTTAACTAAGATAAAATCCAAATTTTAGTAATTTGATTGGATAATATTACACTGATTGTAGTGCTTGGCCAATCAAAATTGAAGTATCTACTAAAATTTGGATTTTATCTTTAGTTAAAATTTCGTGAAACAGGACCCAGTATGTAATTTGAAGTGGCCTACATCCCATATATACAGGTATATATATATATAGAACAGTGATCTGATGAGTAAGTGGTAAAGTTGATCACGAACATCAATAGACACTATTGTAATTAGAAAAGGTGGAGACCTGACAAAATGTTTTATTTATATTTTATTGGTATAATAGGATGACATCTCTTTACCTAAAGACCTAGTTTTACATACCAGTATATATATGTCAGTGTCATGGATTAAAGACGTTCTTACGCTCTAATGAAGTGAAAAGGGAACCTCAGTAAATCAACATTCAAACTCGACATAGGTTAGACTTTGTTAAGTGTTCAACTCCTATTTAATAGATTGCCAATATCGTGTTTGATGTAATAATTACTAAATAATGGGTATATGATAATTATACATGAGAATTGGGTGTGTGAATATTATTTTTCTATGTATTCATTTTTATACGCCACCATTGAAATGTGGTCCTATATTGCCGTTAATATCTGATTCATTTTAAATTTATACACAGTGTTTAAGGTTATAAGACGAAGAAGCCTATTAATTTTCAATGATTTCAGATAAATACTAGACTATTACTATTGAATATCCGATTGTTGTTAAATTTATACACAGAGTTTAAAGTCATGAGACAAAGAAGCTATTGATTTTTAATGATTTCTAATAATTACTGCCAGGGTTATAGCCCTGGCTCACTTTGAAAAATATTGTGGACACTCTAAGAGGCTAAAGTTAATTTCTGATTGACTTTAAATGTATACACAGTGTTTAAGGTCATGAGACAAAGAAGCCTATTGATTTTCCGATAATTGCTGCCAGAGTTATGGCCCTTGATTACTTGAGAAATCTTGTGGACACAAGAGACTAAAGTTTATATAAATTTATAGACAGTGTTTAAAGTAGCTAAGTCTCTAACTCAATATCATCAAAAATCTTCAACATTGAAAACACGAATTATATATCATTTCAAATCAACATTGGTCTTGTGATCTTACAGGGAAAAGGTGGACTCCTGATATCGAATATTCAAGACAAAATAAACATTTTACCATTGGTACGTGTACCATAATGCGTTTCAGCGCCATTTGGAACAAGGGACTCAAAGAACGCAGCTAGACATATTCCACAAGTCATGCCAAATATGGTGACGCTATATTCTTATCTGGAGAGCATCCACAATAAATATCATCGGTGTAGACTGGAATAACCAGATGCTAAAGATGGCCATTCAATTGAGACTTCTGGTGTATTTCACCAAACATAACTGATTAGAAATTATGCGTTGCGACCCATTTGTGTCAATTTCTAGGTCCCAAATATTAGTGATTTAGCTCCTTTAAGGTCATGTGACAAACAATCGAAACAAATTCTAATGATTTACTTAATGGGTTGTTATACTCATTATCAGATTTTAGTGTGTTGTAAATGTTTTCATTGCTGACAAAAGAAAAATATGTGACAACCCTTGTTGACTGCCTGGACAACTTTGCTGCTGTGGGCGTATGTTTCGTTGCCTGGGAACCTATCTTTTGTTCAATACAAAACTACAACAAAATTTGTTAGTAGTTTGAACTTTCCTAAATACATGAAAAGTGGTATCATGTGTTCTATATGTGGCATCATATGTTCTACAGGGCTAGAAATTTGTCATTTTTTGTGAGAATCTAAGAGGATTCTCATAATAGCATCTGCGCGAATCCTCCGAATCATAATTAATAATACTGTCTAAAAAACAAGATTGTGTTTATTGTGTTAATCTAAAACATCAAAATACAAGAACAATACGATACACATAGAACAATCATAAATAGTGTCAAAATGGCACAATAGAGCGATATTTCGGTTTTTCGATATAAAACCGTAGCAGAAATAAAAACCGTCAAAAATACCGTCTTCAGAAAAATATTGAAAAACCGAACATACCGCGAATTTTCGGGATGATATTTAACACAAATATTGAAAAAAAGTCTCCCTAATTATGTCATTTACGATATTTTATTGCTTTATGATAAATAAATAGCAAATGCCGATAGAGAGCTTTGTTTACGTCACGTGACTTCTCGTTCACTTTTCCACCCGACCAATACCGTTAGAATTAACCCTGCTTGTATTCATTGACGAAATGTTTATACGGATGCTTTGATTTTCCAAAGGCATCATTGATTTTCAGATTGAATTAAATTTTAATAAAGCAGTAATATAAATAATGCCAACTGTATTGAGGGTTCCGGTAGGCTGATTATCTTTCAATTTCAGCGTCGAATGTGTCATGGCGGTCCGTGATCCGGAAAAAAATATTTGACTAAATCAATGGACACTTTTTGACATAGTACTTATGTTTTATATTATAATTTAGTATTTTTGCATTACATAATGCATTTTCAAGACGGTATGCGCTTGAATGAGAAGAAACGAGATTCCTAGGGTAAATGAATAGCATCCAATTGTAGTTTGAAAACACGCACGGCTGAAAGAACACAAGCAAGTTGATTGATTTTTTTTTATTAACAAGTAATAATTACCTCGTTGTAATTTAGCCAAAAGTAGATTGATTTATGATACCATAGTGATGGATTCATTGGTTTACCAATCGGCTAGATTAAATGCCAGTTGGCTAAAGCCGACAAAATACAGCAGATACTGACCAACATTCAATAGTCGGACTCGACTGGTATCAGGTTTTCAAGAAACTTGTGTTGTGTTGGGATCACTACCTTCTAGATGCCTTCTATATATCAGCACATGCAATTTCAGGCCCTACATTTCAACGTAACCAACCTCTCAACTCTTGTATCCTTCCGCATCAAAATTATGAATATTCACCAAAACCTGGCAGAAAATGTATTTTCAAACCCTTTTCCTCAATTCTACACCAAAAAGTCAACAAAAATCGCCATGCAAAAGGGGGAAAAAGGGAGAGGAAGAATAAAAATACCTTTGGCCCTTGTTTCGTGGGTGACGGCGTAGGAATATTTGGTGATCTGTGTCCTATATTACAATATTGATCATCCAGTAGAGGATCAATACGACATCCCCCTTTCTTCCAAAAAGAAGAAACTGGAGTATTACAACATATTGACAAATTAAATAGTATCTATATGACATATCCCCCTTTCTTCCAAAAAAAGAAGAAACTGTAGTATTTACAACATATTGACAAATTAAATAGTATCTATATGACACTTGGTACCAAGTGTTCTAGAAAGTGGTATCATGTGTTCTAGAAGCAGTATCAAGTTTTTAGAAAAAGGTATCAGGTGTTCTAGAAGTGGTATCAAGTTGTATCAGGTTTTATGGAAATGGTATCAGTTTTTTTTAGAAATGGTATCAGGTGTTCTATAAAATGGTGTCACATCAGGTGCTCTTAAAAGTGCTGTGTGTTCTATAAGTGGTATCCAGTGTTCTATAGGGGTATCAAGTGTTCAGTCATTCAGATGGGAACAAAAACTGAGGTCCCGTGTACACATTGGCGTGCACATAAAAGATCCCTTGGCAGTTGGAATTCGATATAAGAGTAGGCTGTAGCCCTGCTGTCCGGCCAAAAGTTCTCTCATGGCACACTGTATGGCATGTCTTCATTAGTACATTTGGAGCAGCAGGATGGATGGATGGCCAGACAAGAAACAGTGTCTAGACATTTTGATGTAGAAGTTGATATTCACATAAAAGAACACCTCACAGTTGGGATTCGTTTTAAGAGCAATCGGACATAGCACACTGTATTCAATTGCCCTGTTAGTGGAGAAAAGTTTGATTTAAACT